ATAGCACATACAGAGACAAACGTATACGGACTTGCATGTACGTATTATAACGGACATAATAGGTAAAATCGGCGCGTACGTAAAGTTTCACGAATGATTTTTGGTTTGGTCGTACGCACACCAAGTAGACTTCAGCAGTTGTTACTTCATTCTGCACGGTTGGAGTGAGTGAGCGAGCGTTTTTTTTTTCTTGTAACTGCCGCATCTCGTTCGCGTGGAGCGGCTCGGGTAATGTCGGTAAATGTCGTGCTTTTTTAAATAAATTACTGTTAATATGATTCAAAAGGTTAATGCTTTGATTGTTTGTTGTCATTTTATTATCTTTCTGACTTTCTATATGTATCTATAGGTAACAATATTTCGACACGTCGAATTTATATTGTATACACCAATTTACTTCGGAACTTACGTTCTCTCCAAATGGCACAACTATAAACAGTTATATTTTTAAACAATCCATTCGTTAATGCTCTCACCGAAATGGATTTGAAATTTTTCCATTAATGACTGAGAGCGTTCGATATATCTGTATCAATTCCTAGCTCAGTATTTATTTCTTCGCAAAGACACATAGAAGCCGGCCTCACCAGCAATAGTTTAGAGCGACGTTCTCGCTAATATACGCTGAGTTATGTCTACGAAGCAACTTAGGCACTAATTCCTCCGAAACCTTGTGGGTCTTCGGCTGTTTGTTTACGATATTTACACTCACGAAGTTGTACTCAGAAGCATGAAAAGTTCGAATGGCGCTTGATTTTAAGCTAGGCAAATTTAATCAATAATCATAACTTTTTTAAGTAACAGAACGCATCTACGCATTATTAGATTTCTGTTAAAAAGAAAAAAAAATACGTTATGCCATTATTATCAGGCATCAACAATCGGTGTAATGACGGGCAGTTGTTTCATATGTATGTAACACTAACTCGCATTGACGTCAAACAAAAATCCCGCTTCTAAAAGTCCTCTACAAGCCTATGACACCATACGCGGTAGTAAAGTTGATATTGTTCTGTAAACGAAAAAAACATATGCACATAGCTGCCAGCGGGTTCAGCTGATCAAACCCTTTAAACATCATTTCATTAGTCTTTGAAGCTTGTTATTGCCACTCCGTTACTAATGGTGTCCTGCCCTCTAGCCAGTTGCAACTCAATCGGCCATCGACCACAGTTCTTTCTCCGATTAGGGACATTTTTTGAAAATGAAGTTTTCCTGTGTTGCAAGGTATAAACTTGCAGTTGAGCGATTTGATAAGCTGAGTTAAAATTACGAAGTTGGGAACGTACGAACAAATGCAGCCTACTGCACTGTATAATAAAGCCTTTATGAAGATGTTGTAAATGAAGTAATTCGAAGATGTTCAGTATCAATGGAGTTTGCCCATAACACATTGTTACCTTCACATGCTTGTGATACATATTACTACGAGCAATGAATTACAACACTTCAGTGTATACGGACACACGTGATTTTATCCCTAGCTCACGGCATTTTCTGTCGATTACCGAAAAAAAAATACTTAGTTTTTGTGGCAGTTACTCATTGCTGTTCGATTTCGACATGTATGCCATCGCAAATACTAACGTTGATGGATTATAACTATTGGCAAAGTGATCGAACATCCCTTTAGAGGTACGAGTCGTAATGGCTTGAGTCGTCTCACTGTCGCGCGGTTAAGCCTAAATAGGAAAATTTAGTTAGCTAAGGGTAATTTCCGGTGCAGATTAAATAATTATACAAAAATATAGAGATACCGTCGGCTGCCGTTCGTTAAACCATAGTGTCCGTTCAGAGTCTCAAAGGTAGCTTGAAACGCCAACGATGCTTCACGATCCGGAACCCTTGATTATGTTACTGCTTTATAATTCCGATAGGCTAAATTTACTTCTGTCCATCCATAGCAACATTGCAGAAGCTAAAAAGGAAAATAAACACAACCACCGCCATGCTCCTACCCAATCAATTCTACAAAACTCGATAGTCGATAGTTGACGAGTAGATAATAGTAACAGCAGATTATCCTTTCTACTGTCGAACCCGGGCGTGGACAAACTTTGTTTCATGCTATGCGATACCGGTCGCAAAGCTCGAAATATAGAGAGTCATAACTTCATGCGTTGCTGAAAGGGTACAAAAGCGAACAAAAACACTACGCGGAAAACACACACAAACAGAAGACGGAACCTTCCGACTTTCAATAAATCATCGATCATTTATCCTATCTATTTAGGAACGTATAGTAGTAGTAGCTCAACGAAATACATTCATAATCTAATTCATTGCTACCATCGATACTATCCTATGGATGGGTTTATAGAGCGCGGGTCTATCAATATCAGGTGTGAATATCTGAGACTAGCATAAATGACAGTTTCCACGTTCATGGCGTGTTGCCACGCGATACCGCTAGCTCATCGTTCACACGATTCGCCTGTGATTCGCAAAAGCCGAATGGTCAAGTTAAGTCAAGTTCGTTTAGCAATCAACTTGAAGTTATACAAATATGAAGGTTTGCTTTAAGAAGCTAGTATGCCATCTCTAATATTTAAAGTTACGTTATAACCCAACACTACAGAAGTTTGGCTTCTGTAATGTAATGAAATTATATTATGAATTACTACGTGGTAGGTCAAGACTCAATAAGTAATAACCTTCAGTAACTTGAATGCTAATGAATTCATTGTTTTGAAAAGTGTCTATCTTTTTTTTAAAAGGTGATTACCTCAACTTATTAGCTACACATATACAATATAACACATGGTGAAGTTTTTGAATTTGTAATTAATAATACTAACCATAGATAATCGTTATAAGCGACCAGTAAGGTGAATTGCTAAGCGCCTTCATATTTTCCAAATATGACTATTTGTTTTATGACTAACTTGATCATGTGATATATTTACCCGTCTGATTCTCACGGTTATTGCAAAGTTACAACTTACGAGACCGAGGAATCTTTAGTTAGAGTACAGAAAACATGCCATTGTTTGGCGCTTACGATTCGTGCACGGCGTAGACAAAATATAGATGGCTGACACATGATCATGATTGATTTGATCTGTGATGGGCATACTTCACATTTAAAAATAAAAGTCCGCATATACCGAGTCTGCAAGACTTGGATGAACAGTAAACTCAATAACTGGAAAATAGAATTTTCAAAAACGATTTCGGAATTGAGAAAAGAATCATCGCCTGATAAGGCATCATCCTATTTTCACCCGTAGTTTGACCGCGATTTCCGTTGACGTTTATGCATAGAGCTTGAATCATGCGAGTTGGAGCAATATATCAGCATAAAAAAAACCCATTCCTATGTTGTCACAAGCCGTCTGAACGCTGGTTGATACGCATTCAATGTTTAGATGCAGAATTTTATGTAGGCAAAAAGTGTTTTCTGTAAATTTTATTCACCAATAAAATTCCTCGAACTAAACCGATAAATAAACAATAAAATGAACGCCTCGCATATTTGTCTAATTTACATGTTATCTAGCCAGCAACTCTCCTAACAGTTCTATCGTTCAACGACGCGTGATATCGTTAGGATAAAGCTGCACCCAGATGACATTATGAGTAAATGCTTCCTTTAAAAAATTCGCTATATACTAATCTTGTCGCTTGTTTCAGTCATTTCAAAAGCTCTACATAACCATTACATCGCACCCTATCCTTAGCATCAAAGGCCGAATTCAGCGTCAGGAAAACTGAAGTCTGTTTTCTTAGTTATTTTCAGCTGAGTCCTGGCGATGTGGGCGATTTACAAATAGCGTTTGTCAAACAAAAGGTACCTCCTTTTGACAACGACAGCAGCGTTTTGATAGGTCTCTACCTGCTAAATATATAGACCGGCAAGCTAATACAGGTTCGAGTATACGAGCAGATGCGTTTTCTTCAGCGCTGGACACAAACCGTCTAAAATCTTAGAAAGCCAAATTACGGAATCAAATCAGCGTAAAATCACTCCTTCTACTCTAGGAGCCATTTTACCGAAACTCGCTAATGAGTCCCATATATTGTTGCTCATTTTGTTGTCGACTTTTAAAACGGCAGAGGTTCATCAGTGTTCTTGAGCTATGGACAAAAAATCGAACCGAGAGCAAATCCGCGACATCAAAATGAGCTGTAAATGGACATTGTTCGAGAAGTGTTATTAAACGACCTACAGAACGTATATAAAACCATCTTCAATATTACAACGTATTTTTGTCGCGCAGTGCAAACGCTTTTCGGAAGCATAAGTCCGAACTGTATCCTAATCATTCGTCGCAATTTTTTCTTGAAATAATGCATGCGCCGGTTTTCCATTTTCAGAAAAATCACTCCATCTTCTGCATTTTCTGTGAGACCATGTTCGGTATAACCGTATAGTATTTGGCATATGTTTTTTCGTATATGTTGTTTAATTATAACTATACGTACAGCTTAACCGTACCTCTGTGGGTCACGGAATCGGCAAAGTTCGGGACAATCCTCTGAGGATTCTCTAGGACCACATTTAACGGGAAGAAACTTCGAAAACTAGCTCGATTTTATATGCAGTCGCACGTTAACCAACTGATACCAATACAACTGTATGTGCCTAACTACAGTTGTATTTTAACCGCACGCCGCGAATTAGTCGTTAGTGCATATATAGCTTGTCGTATTTTCAATTTAACGAAAATTGTTTTTTTTACTCCGAACCTGTGCGCCTATAGATGATTCGTAATAATGGCAAACAGCTCCAATGACAGATTCAATATCGTGCACACTTTTCATATTTATGCGTTTCATAGAACAGCATCATGGTCGTATCAGCCGTTCCTGATCTAGTCAGTTCGGATCGCTTTCGTTGTCAGCATAACCTTTCGATCTTCAGTAGATTCGAAATTCTGCCAGCGCTATATTCGCGAAGCTCTGCTAATGTAGCTAACTAACCCAAACGTATGACAGCACTGGCAGGCATGTAACAAACATGGTACCTTTAACCAGCTAAACATTTAGTTAAATCTTACCTTATTTATTATAGATCGATGGCGAAATCATCCATATTTCTTTGTTAGGTGTCCAAAAAGCACTTAACACGCCGTTAGATATTCCCGAGCATTTTAGTCACATACTCCTGCGTTTCTGACCACGAACACAGCAAAACCAATTGCTAATTATCAGTTCGCTATAAAACGTGTGCTTTCACGTTACGGCTTTACTATAGAAGAGGAATTGAGCAAAACAAGATTAGCCGATGCTTGTCGAACAGTATGGCTCGTAGATATCTTTTGCTTTATGTGCGAAGCCTGAATTACGAACTACTCAATGATCTGTTTCTGGACCTATTCCAGTAGAGGAATCACCATCGGCCATTATATACCTGCATAGTGTGAAGGATAGTCCCATCGAAACAGGCGAGATACTGTTTATTACGGAAGAACTGCTGTTTTAAGCACGCTATCATATGACGCTAGAAAATCTCATACCATATGGAAGAACAATAACAACACTTGCAAAGGTCGCGCTAGAACTAAGCGAGGGGTTCCGCGTGGGCCAACGTTGTTTTATAACGTCACATGAATGATTGTGTCGTATTAATGACACTTGGCTAGTAGTAGGTATATAGTATGATAACTGAGTAGACGCAATCTTTTTCCTTTAATTGCGTTAGAAAATGTTACGCGTACCTACAACATTATATTGGTCGATGTAACTCCAAAAAAAACAGGTCCGATTAGTGAGTTAATTTAGCCTTTTGAAGGCTAAATCAAGCTGACATTTCGATATGATGAGTGAAGCTGTTGAAGGCGCCTTACATTCGTACGGGCAGAAAGGGTACGCTAGAAACCTGCACCTGTTCAGTACCGGCGCGCTGCGCGTACGGGAATTCAGTGTTGGCGTTAGAAATAACTCGCACATCGTTTCACACCATTGCACTACTTACTGTTCGTTGCCAGCAACGGAAACGTACAGGGTTAATAACAACAACAACATGTTCATTATCATCGGCAGTGTCATCATTCCGATATTCACGAGTCAACAGCGGCCTATCGCTGTTGCTTCCACGTTTTGTAGATTGCCTAAAACGAAGACGCCGGTGAGGCCGGTGCACGTCGTTGCTGGTGTCAGCTGTTTTCAGTCGCCAATGCTTCCACCTTCTTAGATATACAAACGATGGATCGACGCTCACGAAGCAGACTACTGCTATTGCAGCGGCTGTACGGATGTCAGTCGGTCGTCTGATGAAGGAAAAATCTCTCTTTGTCGCCTTTGCCGAGCCGAGAGGTCGGCGTAAACGCAGATAGGCGGCGACGGTGACGACGGCAATGGACGGGCGGGCGATGAGTGAGCACTTGACGCCCCAGGCAGCAGCGGCTGTAACGGAAAAAGATAAAGAAACACGGTAAACTAGATGGCTGTGACGGTGACGAAAGCAGCGAGGAAAAGATACATGCGCGACGCGGATCGAGTCAGGTGTAGACAGGAACCACTAAGTCAGAATTCAGTTGAGCTTGAGAGGGAGTCTGTTGCTTCGTTGTGCGTACCTTCCTAGGTTTACCGGCCTTCTATCGCTCAGTTCAGTCGATGGTTCGTGGACATGCAGCGTCGACGGACAAACAAAGGGCGACCTGGACCGAATCGGTGGCTCACCGCTGTTGCCGCGTCCGCGGGGTCGGTGACTCGCTGGCAGCGACCCGCTGAACAGCGCTAGCACAAGACAAGAACGTCCAGAGAAAGTCAGACAGGAGCTATGTCCACTAGATGGGCTATCACACAATTCTGACTGGTTGTTGTTATTTAGAACGTCAACGCACGCCCATGGAAAGAAGCGATAACGAACGGTTCACCTTTTCCTTCTCGCGCTCATTGCGCCGCTGCCGTTGTCCTCACCACTCCATAACAGAAACGATAAAAGCGGCGACCGCGAAATACCTATGTACTTGCGCAGGGAAGAACCGAAGCTGCCTTTACTTACTTCGAACTTTTTTCCTCTCGCTAGTAAAGCCGGCCACAGACTACGATGTACTAATATTTTTCAGCATCAGCAAGAGAGCCAGTGTTCAGCTACACAAATGGAACTCGCATGACGAAAATTGGCATTTACATAGCACGCAATATCGTTATTACTAAACCGCGCCCGCGCTAACAAACTGGTTATAGTAAATATGCCGTTCGCTAGCTGAGACATTCTGAAAATAATTGGCCGACGCACGTTTCAGTGATAACAAATCATTTTCACAGTAACAACAATACACGGCTGAACGAAAACCACCACCACTAACTTAGCATATGCCACCGCCTATCGCGCGTCTGCTAAAGGTATAATATTTGGCTCGCCTCCCAGCTGACATCTATATACATTTTAGTCGGAATCAGATGGTGACACCGATACCGCATAGAAGAAAACACGTCGAACATTATTATTTATATAAATCAATATTAGATAATTATTCTCAAATCGTCAAATGCTATTTCTGAGTAAATTTTCTTGCTTGTACGCCTCTTGTCTCCCTCTCCCTTTTTCTTTTCTATCCTTTCGTATTCGCCCACCTGGGGCAAGTGCGCAATTTATTGTACGCGTGCGCCCACGAGGCAAACGGTGTGTGCGGTAGCACGAGACCGGGCCGTGACCCCTTCTTAATAAAGATTATCAAGATCTTCTATTATGTTACATACAGTTGCTGTTTCACAAGCATATTTTTCAAACGTGCAATTGCAAGAAACTGGTTAGCTAAACAGACTTATTAAGTGAAATTATCAAGTTTAGAATGTTGTCATATATTTAGGTGATTTTCCCGGGAAAGGAAACTACAGCGGATCGGGGCGCATCGAAGGTATGAATGCGTTAAACGGTAACTTCGGCTGGGTTTCGGCGAAGAGTAAAAACGCCTTCACTATTCAGTGCTATAGCGGCTTTTAATCAAATATGGCACACCGGAACATTAATTAAGGCCTCTTTAAGGGTTACAGTTTCTAGTAGTTTTTGCCATACGGCATAGATGACTACACGAGGCAATTGCGTTCAGGCGTGGCGACTGGGACGACCAAGCCTTTAGTTGAAAGGCATCCCAAAAGTTGTTGCTTCAGCCAACGATATGTTGCTACATGGTTTGTGTAAGTAAAGGAAGTTATCTATTTAATTTAATTCACAGTATATTGTAATATTATGTATAAATAGTAAAAACAAATGATTAACACATTTGTAACGATATAGCAGCGTGTATACTATGCATACTAGCAATAGCTCTGTGCTATAACTATTATACAAATTCACCAACAACTTTTCATACCTCTCACTTCGGCCCATCGCTAACGCCGTTATCGTCCTTATGCTGTGAGGTACGTTTTCAAAACATCAACGACGCGTGTTATGTTACTGGTTCGAAATAGCCTATAGAAAATCATATTAAGGCCTGCCTTATATAGATTTGAGAAACAGGCCAGCTAGAGAAGATGACTCTGCCCCCGAATACCCCACAACTTTTGCTGAGGTAAAGTTATATACCTATAGAACATTTTGTAGAAGATGAAATTGAAAACACTTTATCACAGAGTAGCTAAAGAAAAGACCAACGCTATGTATGAAGTTCAAAGTCTAGCTAAAGCCCAATTGGAACCCGTAAATCTTTCTCAGCAATCTGACTAGAAAAATGGTCATGTCAAAATGTGTTTGTTTGATGGTTTGTGAAAGCATAAAGTCATACACTTTTAGACATGAATGATGATGCCATCGGCGATGGTTCAATGGAGAAAGCAGCCGGTGTCATTGAAAAGCCTGCTTTACTAGAACTACATGTATCGGTCATTTTCGCACAGAGATCACGGTTCGTCTAGTACATTCTTATTCAATTTGTCGAATGAAAAATTACTTCCTATTTATCGAGCTTATTAGTTGCAATCACCTGGAAAATTGAAGGAAACTCGATCGAATTTCCCGCCAATAATGTTCCGTCCTCGATCATTGTCACGCGCTGTGTAACAAACTAACGCTCTGTAGAAATTTCTGTTGCACTCCTGTTTTACAGTAATGCTATTCGAAAAAATGGTTTTATTTCACATTCAAATATTTAATTCAGAGCCTTATAAATATGCTCGCTTCATATGACGGCCGGAAGGATCTTTTTCCAATTAAGGTGCCGATGTTCCAGGATTACCTTATTTCGGATTAACATAAATACCAACTGCACTTTACGATAGCATTTATTAGTAGGTAAAACTGAGCTATATAATAAAATAGGCTACACCTATTCTAGTGGAAAATTGCCTATAGGACGTAGTCGTCAATGGGACAATTTTAGAAAATGCCACAACCCCAATTACTGTAAATCTTCAATAAACTATATCCAATAAGCTTTTCAAAAATCTTAAATTATCTGAAAATGAAACACTGGAATTTTGTTAAACGTTAATGGTCGTATTAGTGTTCTCGTCTGATGTGCTTAGCCTTAGAAAAAATGATTAATAAAAAGTTATTTTTGCTAGCTTTCGGTGAACCTGCCATTCCAACTCCATTCCATTCTGAACTACTACTGCTTCCACGTTTACGGAGCCCGATGGTTAAATACTTCTCTTAGTTTCTAGGTTTTAATGGAAAGTTCTGTTAGGTAGACGTAATGACCTCTGGCGACTTGGCAGTAAACAGGATTACATGATTCTCTTATGTTTCAAACTACACGTAAATTTGGGCAGATTGACGAAACATTGAGGCTTGTCGATATTTTTTCGGCAACGATAGTTTTGACATGCGATCTGCGACGACGACGACGACGACGACGATGACTCTCCCAAATAGTCCTTGTGATAGAAAAACTGGGCGGTATCATTCATTTGTTAATAAAGAAAACTGTCGGTATTGGCTTGCGTTGGCATGCAGTTATCTATTATCTAATCTTTCTTAACAACGTAAACAAGTCTATGCCATATAGAAAGTGCCGCAGCTTTTTCGTATAGATGAATGGCATTGTAAATTGCGGATAAGAAATGCAAGATCGGCTATTTTTATCTATGCGTTCGCAAATACTGGCTGTATATTAGTTACAGCTTAACTTGTTTTGTGTGAACATACAAGTATTTACTACCCGTAAAATTAGCAATAACTTGATTTTATGACAAGACTGAATTTTTTAGCATTGTATAGTTAGTATTATTTGACATTTTATATATTCGTGCCATAAATCCAGTGATTGGTGCAATTCAAGAACGAAGTTTGTGACAATTTGCCCTCCTGCAGTGCAGGCATAATTTCCAATTTTTAAACCAATAGGTTGTTGTTGGCGGAAAGCACCGAAACAGACCGGTTAGCCAGTAGAACTTGCACTGCGTCAAAAAACTTGTTCACTGAACCTAGTGCTTTCAATGAAATTACTTGCGTTTAGATTGTCTATTATAAAAGAATGATACTTCTGTATTGGATGCCAACAATGCTCTGAACTATTTTAGAAAATGGCGGAGTAATTCACAGTGCTCCTAATCTGATTTCGGATTTGACGTTTGAAAGAAACAGAATGAGCGTATTCCGTGTATGCACAGTATTCGCAGCGTTGTCGTACGCATCGGAAAAGCTATCCCTACAGTCTTCATACAGGAACTTTCTGCTACGAGAGACACATTTTGCAAATGAAAATGTCCATTGCAAATAACAGCAGAATAATCTCTCTTGAATCATAAGCCCTAAATGAAATCAACATTACCTATGTACGAGTGAACTTGAAAAACATACCTCTGTCAATATTTTTCGTAACAATTATCAAATATCATAAAAGGAACTAATGCGACGATACAAGTCTACAGAATGCGTGTAAAGATTTTTAAGTCTTATTTATTTATTGGGGTAAATATGTGGATGGGATGAACGGGTCGCTCTAACGCTAACGGGGAACTGTAGAAAACACAAAGATGAATTATTGCTATCGTTTTAAATCAAAGAACTTATGCTCGAAATTAAACGTTAAACGTGAGCTGATCTTGCTTGAGTGTTAATCCAACTCGGGTTCTGACTGTCGACGTTTTGTTCTGAAGGCCAAGTTGAAGTTCATGCGACCAAGCGGCACGGGTGCACGTGCGATCCAGGTCGGTGCACAGCACAACACCCAGACAGAAAATAGGAATAAAGCGTGAATTCTGAGAGCGGTTATTGTACTATTAAAGCCCGATTTTGGGGTCTGTTCAAAGCGTCGAATAGGTCGACACTGCCATCAACGCATTGGTCTGCGAATCAAATTTTCCTGTACAAGCTTAGGTATCTCGGATGAAGTGAAAATGACCCTCATTTGTAATACCGCTTCACAAGGACTGGATCACTTGGAAAAGAACTGAAACATAAATAAGCCTTCCAAAGCTAATATCCTATCCTAATATGAATTATTGGATAGCCT